CTCGGTATACATAAAAGAGATCCTTCGCTGTTTTAAACGAAAAATGAAAGAAGATCGATGAAATCAACATCGCGCGCCACGTGTCGCCGCGAAAACATTACATCTTACATCGCGTTTTGTTCGTCTATAACAACGGTGACCTCTTACACGATCAACAATGCCGGTCAGTATCAACACGCGTGTTTGATGATTTGTTGGTTAATGACAGTATCGATTATATGAGACATTATCGATTACATAAGATCCGCAATTTACTCGCGTTTTACGACTCCGTCGCGGCAACGACGATCTTTAGTAACACGCACTGTGTCAGTATTATCCAATAGATAGCGACGGGATGACAGTGTATATTATTCTTCCCGCTAAAGTTCGCAGAAGTATGTCTTCGTTTGATTAAAAAAAAAAAACAAGCGGTTCGTAATGAACAAACAAGTGTGTGAGTCACTTTATGATGATTATCCTTGGCGTTCATATATATATCAACAATTTGCCTTGCACATCGCGTAGTTTTAGAGATCCAAGGGATCGATATCGAGCGAACAAATTGTTAGCGAAGTTACCTCGCTTCACCTCGGCAACGTTAAAATCTAAAGTAGTCGAGGAACGTTGGAATAATTTAACGTAATTACCGAATTGAACGCAGAAACCATTCTTTCTCGAAAATTTTATCTAACGTAATTAACTCGCGAAGAAACTTAACGTTGTTACGTTGTAACGTTTTAAGATATATTATTAAACATTTAAACAAGAAAATCTTTGAAAGAGAGAATAAAAAACGCGATACTCGACCGCAAAACTCGAGGGATTTATATTTAATTTGTGGAACGCGCGAGAAAGAGGGAGAGACGCGTGTGTACAGCGAACGTGTGTTTTTCGCGTTTGTCTCTCTGTGTGTGTGTGTGTGTGTGTGTACAGCATCGAGAATTAAAATCAACTTAAATTATACGAGTGTTTTGATCGCTGATAGAGGATAACGACATCGTGTTGTTCGAAACAAAACCGCGTCTCCGGAGGCGCGTGCGAACCGCGCAACCGGACGGCAGACAATAACCAGGGAACGATTAACTTTCCGGCCGCGATAAATCGCGATAAAGGTGCTCGTGCGCGTAATTACGCGGCGTGTCTTCGAGTTAATTTGCGAATTTCAAGTGCGGCGCGCCGTGACAGGGTTTTTACCATTTTTATCGTCGTTCCCGACGAGAGAGAGAGGGGGAGAGAGAGAGAGAAAGAGAGGAAGCATCATTTATCGTCGTTCCCGACGAAAGAGACAGAGAGAGAGAGAGAGAGAAAGAAAACAACAATCTCTCGAGTGCGCGCGCGAAATGCACCGATAAATCACGACCCGTAGTAGACTCGACTGCGCAATTAACCAAATAACTTTTACTTCGGATCAGCTGTCGCAGATACGTGTCGGCGGAAAGTTATGCGGCGAGGTATTAATGCGTCCTTTTTAATTTTTCACGATCGATCAACGAGCAAAAAGCACGTCCACGGCGGAATCAACTTAATGCAAAGTCGGCATACTTGAAAATTCATTGGATATTCCGTTTTATTGACGATGTTATTGGCAACTGTCGATATCTTTCTTGAAACAAATATCGCAAAAAAAAAAAAAAAAAAAGCTGTTTCACCGCATCTCTATTTTCAGAAACTTTGTATCTGATCGCATTCGCGTGGAAATAATCACGTTGTTAATTGTCTTTATAATTGCACATAAACATGATGTTTCTGATTAAAAAACACACATTAATCGTTTAACAAGTTAAGTATATAGTTGATTGTACGTTACAAGTGGATTGAGATGAAGCGATTGATTGTTCGAATCGAGGACTTACGCGCAATTTTGAAGACAATATGAATATTCAAATAGAAAATTAGATTCGGGAACACAACGAAGAGAAGAAGAAAGATATAAAGACATGCCTCAGCTTGAAATCGGCAGCGAATTTAGGACGAATAAAGAATGTCTCGTAATATATATATATATATCTAAAAGCTAGGCAAAGTGCACACTGGAGAGAAGTTTTATTATCGAGGATCGCTCTCTCGGAGAGAATAAAACTCTCAATTGGCCACTCATTAAGTGTCGCTCTCTCCGGCGTACGCCGGAAATTTTACTGTCGAGGATCGCTCGCCGAGAATAAAACTCTCAAGAGCCACTCCCGGCGATGACGTATGCACCGATGAGCCTCACTGTCGAGAATCGCGTGTCACAATAAGGACCGAGTTTTTAAACAAGCTTCGGGAGGAGGAACAAAAGTTGCGATTTTATTTCCGCACCAATTAATTTTCTGTGTGTATATATATATATATATATATATATATATATGTATGTATGTATGTATGTATGTATGTATGTATGTATGTATGTATGTATACACAAAGTGCGTTAAGTTTTCTCGTTTCGGAGAAACCTTTTAAGAAAACTTTCAACCGGATTGCCGCGCGACACAAACGAGAGATATATACATATATTTTCCACTTTATATAAAATAAAAATGATGACAAAATATATATATATATATATATGCGCTACATGCGCATCAAACATTGCAACATGAGTGTTGCGCCGCGATATTCGCAAGGTCGCAATTAGGATGCAAATTTATGTCAATAGTGAAAAAATAAGCCTTGGCTTCGACGAGCGATTTACGATGTCTCTTATCGGCGAGCTCTCGCGCGCGAGCGACTTATCTGTCCTCGGAAAGTCCGGACTATACTCGCGTAATCTCCGAGTCGAATCAGGTCGAACGCTCTATTCCCAGGCTGTGGCAAAGTAACTCTCTTTCTCTCTCTCTTTTTTTCTCTCTCTCTCTCTCTCTCTCTCTCTCTTTCTAACTGTTTAATCGCATTTCTGATTATATTAACCCTAAACTTGTGCTCTTGTTAAAAAAACTCTTTCATTAAAATACACATAACTGTCATCTTATCGCGTTAATTTATATATTTTATATCACAAAAATAAATATATAATATCTCTCTCTCTCTCTCTTTTTCTTTCTCTCTCTCTCGTTTAATCTATTTATTTTCACAGAAGACTATTTTGCAAGAAAGTGTTGAGGTAAAAACACAAGAAAACAACCTGATATACCGGTAACATATGTGAATGCACTGTTAAAGCTCTTTCTCCGTTTCGCGAGGAGAATTCACAATCTCTCCGCGTACCTACTACACGCAGAGGGCAAGCGGATTCTCATCTCGTGCTGCTCGTTCGCGCGAGGCGAGCTCCGCCGTTGCGCGGATAGTCTTGCATCGCGAATACCGTTACGCGCCGCAAAGAAATAGGCAGAGAGGTTGTACGCGTATTTACGTCGCGATGCGATCCGTGAGGAAGCAACAAGCTCTCTTTGCGAGAGGAGAGAAGACCGATTGTGCTATCAGTCGTCGATATCGCGCGGAGGCGCGTTCCAAAGGCCGGTTGCCCACTGACGTCGTCGTCGTCGTCGGTTTAAGTCGCAACCGCGATTAAACCGCGAGAGCAGTCGAGGTCGGACGCGCGAGAATCAGGCGCGTATATTCCGTTAATACGCTCTAACCGTAAAAGAAAGAATTCTATCTCTACTGTCAAGTAGTCGGGAAATATAATATGGTCGATATATTCATTCATATTTGATTGAAAACATTTATCGCGCGAAGCATAAAAACATTTGTCGCTTATTTCCTTCCTATTGTTTAACACATTGCTTGGCGAGTTTACATTTCTCATCTTGTTTATCTACATCAGTGGTTGTCAAACCACATTTTATCCCGGCTACTGAATCACTTCGATTTAAGCACATACATGTGCGCGCGCGCGCGCGCGCGCACATCGTGCGACGGAATATTATGTATCTTTCGCGTCATGTCGCACAAAATTGATTTTCGTAATTAATGATGGAAAGATATTCTGAATTTTGTCAAATCGGATTACACATCACAGATAAACAAAATATACGAACTTGCTGAATAATAAACTAGAGATTTAACAACAACAACAAAATTTCTTGCAAGTTCGAGAACGTCAAGTATTAACTGTCTCTTAAAAAATTTTTCTCCTATCGCGCTGATTAGATTGCGTCTTTTTTCTGATATACACATTTCAAAATAGAAGAACAAATAAATACCGTAAGAAAGAAAAATCATTCAAAAGCTTTTAAGCTTTATATATCGGTCAACAGAGATTTGCGACTTCTTACATTTATTCTGTTTTTCGTTATTCTCGGAAAAAAACTGGCGACAATAAGATTTGAGTGAGAAATGTACAACCGCGTGACGGCTATACAGTACACAATAAAAGATAATCGTGACAAATGGTTTTTATCTTAAAATCCCGTGTTATATTCATACGATCACAACGAGTGAGTCAACTGTGAAACAGACTCGTTACTTCTCTCGATAGTGCAGAAAAATAACATATTTAGAATAAAGAAGAATAAAGAAGAAACATATATATTTGTCAAACTTTCTTTTTTTTAAAAAAATTCTCTATATCTTTCGTTTCCCACACGAAGGACAATAAACAGATTCTTTCCTTTTCCTCAAGAAACGCGTATTTCAAAATACTTGTCTCAAAAGATATATGTTATAACGAGATATAAAATGCTACGACTTTGACTCTACTATTATTATTTTTATTTTTCTCCAAATAAGACAATGTTGCTCTCTCAAATATGAGAAGCCGATTAGAAAAATTTCTACAAAAGAAAAGAAATGTGATTTCTCGTGTAATAATATATTATGTGTTAGATTATCTGTTAAAAAATGTTTTCTCTACACAGAGATATTTGTTTTCAACATGTGCAATCTGATCCTCGTGCTAGTTGTGAAAAATGGAAGTTTATAAAAACAAAAACGAAAAAAAAACAAAAATAAACAAAAGTACACAGTCATTTTTGACAAATGACGGCTTCAATATGTACACACACGTACACACACACACACACTTAATACTGATAGCGCGAAAAAAAGATCTGAACATACCACCACACCGCTCGCGGTCTATGTGTGTGTGTGTCACTCACCTCGAGTTCCTCGTACGTGCGGAAGGCGATGATGGCGAATCCGTCGATAATGTCCTCCTCGAAGGGTGGCTCCTTCTGGTTGGCAGCCGCGAGGGAAGACTTCTTGCGAGGCCTCGGGGGTCGTGGCGGCCTGGGCGGACGTGAATGTCCGTCCCGTGGATGACCGGTCTTGGTGAGCCCGAGGCCGCCACCACCGCCGCCACCGCCGGCGGGATCCTCGTCCTCGCCGCTGTGGCTGTCTTCCTCATCGTTCGGCGGTCTCGATTGTCGGGACTGTTGCGACTGTTGCTGCTGCTGCTGCTGCTGTTGCTGTTGCTTCGCGGTGGCCAGGCTCTCCCTCTGAGCCAGCATGCGTTGCGCCCGCTCACGTCGGCGATTCTTTTGGCTACGCTGTTTTGCTTCGATCTCCATCTTCTTCGAGTGATCACCAACACTTGACTTCACTGAAACCGTCAACCGGACGACAATGTCGTGATCACTCGCGGCGCGGCCTCGTGGTCAACGTTTGACACACGCGTAGGCGCGGAAGACGACGATGACGGCAACGACAAAGGGAATGCGAGAGCAGACAACAGCGACGGTAGTCGTGAAAGTGTTGTCGCTCATTCTACGGTCGTTCCCGACCGATAGGAAAGAAGAGAGAAAGAAAGAAATGTCGAAGGAAGGTAGGCGAAGGAAAGAACAGCGAAAAGATAAGGGAGGGAAGAAAGGAAGACGATGGGCGAAGGGGCGCAGGGCACCGGAGAGGAGAGAGAGAGGAGGAGGTGGTAGGGAAAGACGGGGAGGCAGAAAGAGATAGATAGAGACAGAGAGAAGAGAACGACGGAGCGAGAGAAAGCGCACCACACACTGCCCCAAGATACGCGAGAGACGTTGCCGTCGGCACTTCACTACTGTCGCATGTACGCGCACGCAGGGCACGTAATATAACCACACACTTCTCTTCTCCGTGTAAGAGACACTCTCTCTTCCAAAAAGGTACAAACACAGTCTTGTTTCCTTGCGCCCGCTCAAGAACAAATGAACGAACGAACGAACGAACGTCCTCCGCCGTTCGCGATGCGTAGATCGGCGGCTCGCGCGATACGCTCGCGAGAGTTTCGCGATATCGCGACGAACACACAACAAGGAGAGCACTTTAAACACGGCACGGAGCGATGTCACATCGATCGCGCGGTGGTGGCCCCAAGGAAGAGAAGAGAGAGCAGAAGAGAGAGTCTCCGGGTGTGTGTGGCCAAGAGGCACGCGAGAAACACGCACGCAGGGCGGCGGACAGACAAACACAGGCGGAGAGAGAGACACACGGGACAGACGGAGAGACACGGAGAGCGAAAGAGCGAGAGAGCGTGTGTACGGCGACGAGTCCGTGTGCGCGAGCGAGATAGAGCTTTACGGTACACCGGAACGAGCGAGAGAAACGGCACGCATCCGAGGATCGGAGCACTTCGCGAAACGAGACGATTTTTTTTTTTTTTTTTTTTTACAAGAGAGCGAAGAGATCGGCGATAGCTCTAGCTAGCACTTTTTTTTTAACGGAATTCCCGTAGATCAGCACACGTAGGGACACACGTTAGAGACACACGTTATAGAGAATAGGACCTAGTCGCGGAGTGACGTTAGACACACATTCGCGGCACGCTATTATCCGACGGCGACATCATAATTATTCGAGTTTGCACACACCTTAGGGAGAGAGTTCAGTTCCTCGCTTGTACACGATTACCGTGTATACACACGCACGCACGCACGCACGAACACACACATACACACAGACACGAGAAGCACAAGAAACTCTCAGTGTAGCGCAGCAACGAGATCGGTCATATGGGGCTTCCGTTTACCTCCGTTCGTTCTCGTTCTCGTCGTCGTCGTCGTCGTCGTCGTCGTCGTCGTCGTAGCTGTCCACGTCGCGGTCGCGCGCGCCGTTTTCATCGTCCCCGGGCGTTATCGTCCACGATCACGTCCCTCTTCCTTCTTCTTCTTCTCCACCTCCACCTTCGCCGTCTCTTCCGCCTCGCCACCGTCTTCGTCGCCGTCGACGCTCGCACGGTAGACGACGACGTCGTCCAGCTTCTCCTTCTCCCCTACCGTCACCGCTGTCACTGCCGGCGATCCTGCGGACCGTCGTTCTTCTGTCCTCCTCCTTCTCCTTCTCCTCCTCCTCGTCGTCGTTGTCGTCGTCGTCGTCGTCGTCGTTGTTGTTGTCGTCGTCGTCGTCGTCACGTAGTTTTCGTCTCTTACGACGAATTATTATTTCGTATATTGCGACGCACCGTCTTTTTACGAGAGGGGTCGCGCGGCGATGATAGTCGTCGTCGTCGTCGTCGTCGTCGTGTTCGGCCGACGTCTGGCTGGTTTGCGCAGCGCGGCGAGACGCGACGCGGCGCCGCTTATCGTCGTCGTCGGAGCACGACGGTGCGTCCGCGACCTGCCGCCGTCAGATGCATCCTGCGAGGTGAGCACGTAGCGCACCGATTGTTTGGAATGGCGGATCGAACAGCCACGCACCGTTGCCGCATCGTGCGGTGTAAAAATGGCCGCGCCGATCCGACTGACTGTGAGACCGTCTGTCTCTGCTTCGCTCCTGTATATAACGTGACTGACTGACTGACTGACTGGCCGGTTGGCTGTGTACTACACCCTGTCCTCCTGTGTCCGCGCGCTCGCGACCCCGTTGTCGCTACAAGAATCAAATTGTTAACGGAGTCATATGACGATGACAACGTTGACCGACAACCGTTGACGGCGGCGACGACGACGATGATGTTCGCACGATGTTCATTCGTCGTCGTGTCACGGGACGATGACGCGTGATTTGTATACCGTGTCACTGGCAGCAGCAGCAGCACATCGTCCCTCCGGCGATTTTCACGATGTAAATGTCGCGCACGTTACACACACGCACACGCACACACACACATACACACACACGTACGTAGAGGGTTAACCACCAGAGATATGTAACATATATGTAATATATCCCCTGTGGGGAATATAGGAGGAAAAAATTAAGTGAGAGAGAGAGAGATATATGCGAGAAAGTCTCCCACGCGAGATTGCAACAACTAACTAAAGAGCACACGCCCCAAATTGCACGCGAACGAACACACGGCTTTTAGGCTCGCTCGGCTAAAACGCGCTGCCTCCGTCGACTATATGCACGCGCTCGTACGGTTATGCGCTTCTGTCATTCGTTCTCAATCACTGTCCGTCTCTGTCGCGCCAACGCGCGCACTACCGAGAGAATATGGCGTACCCGTCTATACGCTGCTCCACAGAGACGGGGGAGACGCATACACACACGAACGATCAGGAACGGGGAATCAGAGAACGGTGTATTATTCTCTCTCGTCTGGAATCGCGGCGGCAGCTCGCCACACCACGGATCGCGAAGCTCTGCCTATATCTCTCTCTCTCTCTCTCTCTCTCTCTTTCTCTCTGTTCTCGTCTTTCCTCTTCTTTTGCTCATCGGTATTTTTCCCCCTCTCCGACGCACGACACACACAAGCCGACACTTTTTCGAGAGAGACTAGATACTTTTCGTTTTCTCCCTAGAGAGAAGAGTAGAAGCGCGCCCGGTTCGAGAAAAACACTGCGCGAGAACGTGGCGCGCTCTGTTTCGTTTCTAGTGACCGTCTCGTTTCGTCAGATGGCGGTATTTTCTCCGCGCGTGCGGTATCGATTTTTGACACGCACGTCGTGGCGGTAATTTTGACGTGAATTTTGTTTTCGTAGAACGAAATAAGCGAGCACACGTCCAGCGAGCGCGAATTTCCAAATGCATCGTGTTATTTATTATTATTATTTGGGTTATTTGAATTATTTACGGAATAAATGACGTCTCGCAATGACGTCACTTTGCTTTACATGAAATATTCTCACGAGTCTTTTATTTCTTTGTTTTAATTTCTAAAACTTTTTATTTATATAATAATCTGAGTTATATATATTAGGTCTATCGGAAAGTTCAGTCCGTTTTTGGAATAAAACAAAATAGAAATTTTTCTTAATTTTTCAAAAATTGGATATACAAATTGCCCTCACGCTGGCAAGAAATCATTAATAATAATGGCAATTATATTATTTAATCAAGTTTATCGACAGAACTTTCCGGTAGACCCAATACATATATGTATATATAATAATGCGGTATAATATGTATCAATAATAATAATACACATTATAAACGTTTTTTGATATAAAATAATTCGAGATCGAAATGTGTGTGTGCAACAAAGTTAAATGACATCGCGCGTCAGTAGCATCTTTTTCCCGCGCGTCATTAGTTAAGCCGCACCTGGAAAGGTGCGCCTTCTTCGAACCAGTCGCTCGGGAGCAATAATTACGACCGCTTTTGTGAGAGAGCGCGTATCTCTATCGCGTATTCCGCGATTCGTGTCCATTTCGCGCGACCGGATTTGGAAGTCGACGTGCGTTTTCACAAATCTATATAGGGGTATCTCACGCCTTAGATTTCTGCGGTTTGTTCACGTACTTCACATAAAAAACGTGTGTAGAACAAGCGTCAACGCAAGATGATATAAAAATAAAATAATAAATTGTAAAACCTTAATTATATTTCTGTGACAAAAAAACATGATGTGGAGATTATCGACCTCGAGAAGATTTCGCGAAGTGACTAGTTTGAAGGACGCGAAAATCTCCGCTGCGCGCTCCGCCGTTAACACACATATACAAGGTGAGACTTCGACCAAAGCCAGAGAGAGAGATATCTGAAGATAAATTGAGTCGTTGTGTACGGAACATAAAGGTCGTGTGTCATTTTGCGAAATTCGCAATATTGTTTAATTAATTAAGCACGAGCGCACGTGGTGGAAGCGCGACAAGTTCGGATTCAAAGTAGGCGTGATGTAAAACCATGTGGTTTTCAGTTGTTGAAAACAGAGATTGTTCACAGTCTTCTCCTGTGGCAAGAGAAGCGCAGATGTAACGCAGCGACGTGTGATTTGCCGCCGATATCGATTGAAAATCGATGATATTGATTTTCTAAAAATCACATGGCGTTTTTACGCCCGCAAAGTTTCGGATCCACACGCGATCTCGCGTATTGATTAATTAATAAACTCAACAGAGATATTGCAAATTTTGCAAAACGATACGTGAATTTTCTGTTTCTTGTTGTTACCTCAATTCGCACTTCGGCCGCGTCGGTGATGTTTCGGACACCCTGTGCGCGCAACACACATTTGCCACAAGTCAAGTATCGACATTGACATCGTTTCCCCGATATACATATATCAAACTCATTATGCGTTAATATCGTGTGATCAATGTGCGCGCGTGCTTTTGGTCTCCCCAAGGTAACTCCGATAACTTCTCCGATCTACTTTGCACAATTTGCCGCGGCCGCGCGGAATCGGATTGCGCCGTCAAGGAAAGCGAGAAAATTACGATCTCGTAGATGGAGAGAGCGGCGCGTAATAGATACATTTCGTACGGCTGTCTGGGGAGGTAGCTTTGTGTTGTTGATTTACGAGCGACGTATCGACGCGCGAGCGAAAATTTCAATATATTATCGCACGAGTAGTCAAATCGCGCTGTTGTTTATCATAGACGCGCGCGCACACGGTGCGAGCGGCGCGTTCGATGAATGGAAATCGGATCAATGAACGATATACGCGCTTATATAGCGCGTAGCGTCAATTAGCGTTAAATTTAATTGTTCGAGCCTGTACAGATTTTTTTTTTTTTTTTTTTTACGTTTACCCACAGAGCGCAATTGCGTAAGACAAATTGCAGTTCGCAATATATATATTCGCGTCGAGTGATTTAGACGCGATTAGCGATTAGCGACGCTGTTACGCGTAATGTTTAACGACGCGAGAAATAAACTGGGATAATAACGACTCTATACACTTTCTCTCTCTCTCTCTCTCTCTCTCTCTCTCTCTCTTTCTCTCTCTCGCTGCCCATTCAAATATCTAATAACAGTAATAACGGTTATTACTGCCGAACACTGTCGACGACAAGTAGAGCACAGATCGATTAAGACTTGGGTAATGACTCGCTCGGTCTAATCGTCGTTACTCGTAATAGTATGGCGATTATTGCGTGTCGCGAATTGATTCGCGAAAAGACACGCACATTTTCGTCGACATTTCCGGACCGCGCTAATTAATCACTTATCGAGAGAGAGAAAGAGAGAGAAAGATCGAGTATCGCCTTTTTCGGATTGACCTTGCGCGCGCGCGCGACATCGGCGATATCGAAGAGACGCATCGAGTGGAAACCCGAAGGCGAGATGTGTTTCGATTTTACGAGCTTGGGGGAATGAATCATTTTGCATGCCGAATCCGCGACGCGCGCGATATAAGGCATTCGGTTGGAACGCGGCGGCGTTCATTTGCATATTAACGACCTCGGCTAAGAATGGGCTTCTGAAAATATACATCCGCGCCGGGGACATGTGCACACGCGCGAATGTGTGGACACGAGCTCGAAACGTATATATCCGCGTGTATAAGCCCATCGGCTCCGTTCGGGACAAACGGTGTGCGCACGGGAAAAAAGTGCGCTCATATTCGTGCGAGACCTCCCGTAACGGGGAAGTCGTTTTTAAACTCGCGACGACGACGTTTTTTGTTTTTTTCCCCCGGAACGGCCGTGCGCGTAATTCGTTGCTTTTCAAGCAAATCGGATTCCTCCGGGTTATTATGTCCGCGTGTCGCACACGCTCGACGAAATGATTTTATTATCTTCTCTAGCTCCGTCTCCGCGCTCGCTTGTATAATATTCTGCTATTTTCTCTCTCTCTCTCTCTCTCTCTCTGAAGTTGTACGACATAATTGGCTACTTCTAGCGGAAATGTTGGAGCAAAGTTTCTACATTACGCGAGTCTCTCGAGGTTTTTTTTTTTTCTTCAAAGTTTTACAAAGTTAACGCTCGTCGCGCGGAGATAGACGCAGTTTCATCTGATTCTTATTTCGTAATCGCGTGCGGACTTTTTGAACGACGAGAGAGTATGTCGAAAATCTATATAATTACATTCTCTATTATATATATATATATATATATATATATATATACTATATATATATTTTTTTTTTTTACTTTCAAACATTCTCGAAGCGTTTCAAGGCGACCCGCCGCGCGTCGCAAGGTTTTTAATGGGTCAATGGGACGTTAATCTCCGTCGTTTTCTCGCGCGATAGCTCCGATTGGACGAACGCCATTCCGTGGCGGAGATGCACGGTGTGTTTGCTCATTCGGGCGTGTACTTGATGTTGTCGCGTACGTGCCTGTGTTTACCAGCGACTCGATAACTTCGCCGAAGTTCTTCGGCCTCCTTCCATTCACGGTGTCACGCTCGAACAGCCTCGTCGCAATACGAATTCAAATTGACAATAAAAAATAAAAAAAATAAAAAAAAAAAAAAAAAAAAAAAAAGAATATTTTGCACTTAGATTCTTGATTCAATTCCAGTTTTTCTTTAGGAGCATCTCAACGCGAAACGACGAAAAAAAGGTAACCTACTTCCGCAATTTCGCGCTTTTCTATCGCGAGAAACAATCGAGCTGAAAAACCTCGAAGAAGACTTTTTGTTATTGCGCGAATTTGCAATGTTGATTGCGATGCCCCCCCCCCTCCCCGCGATCTCACGTCGTGTTCAATTGTTCGACAAATTTGCGCGTAACTCCGAGTCATTCGTGTCGAAAACAAAAAAAAAATATACCCGAGATCGTGAGAGAGCGAGAGAGAGAGAGAGAGAGAGAGAGAGAGGAGGAGGGAACAACGCGCAATCTCGGGTGCCGCACCTGCTAGTCTCGATCCTGATGTGGCCGGTGGATCCGTCAGAAAGTACTCGACGACGGTCGGACAGTATAGCGAGCGCTGGCTGGCGCGAAAGCATTGCGGCGCGAGTCTTGTCGAGTACTTTCGTTTCGCGCGTCGTGAGCAACAACACGCGTCGCTCGCACAGCAGCGCATCGCCTCGTCAACGAATCGACATCGTCCCACGACAACTGATTGTTTTTTTTTTTTTTGTTTTACGAACGACGTACTTCTCTTCGGGAGAAACGCCGCCGAGTTTCTCAGACTCTGTTGTTCTCGCCGAGAATTTATTTTTGAGAAATTATATACAAGAATCGGCTCGTGAGGATACAAGTGCGATCGTAAGGTATACAATCGAAGAATCGCTAAATGTAGGTGAGTGCGCGCGCACACACACACACACACACACGCACGCACACAAAACATGCGCGTTTCTCTCTCTCTTTTGTTCTTTTGTTTTCTTTCTTGACACACGTCTTCGGTGAAAATTTCCGTCAAATCTCTTGTTTCTGAATTTTCACTTGCGAGAGATCCGATCTTTCTCTTTCACGCGCGATAACTGCCGATACGCGCGTCCATTTTTTTTTTTTTTTATTATTTCGCGTTTCCGAGAAAGGATCGGCCGACGCATCGGCGAACGGCTTTTCCTCGGAGGATATTACGCGAGTGTGCGGCATTGTCAGTCTCTTACATAACGAGGCGCGCGGCACAGGAGCTTATGAGAATCTTCCCAAGTGGGAAGGCGCGCGCGCGCGCGCGTGTTTTCATCCGCGTGTTCGATTCCGATCTGTCGTCGTCGTTTCTCTTGCGACAGTTTCGATAATAAACGAATCAATCAAATCTCGATCTCGGCGACCGCGCAGATCTCTGTGACTCTGTATTTGGTGTGAAAGCCAAGGTGTCCCCCCTTCCCCCGCGCGATAGATCGTCGGTGTCACGTCGGTCCTAAAATGGATCCCCCGTACCGCGATCGAACGAGCCCGCTTCGCATTTTCAACCAAAATGGCGACGTCCTTGACGGGGTCACGTGTTCGCGCGGTGTCGCACGCCGCTGCTAACTAAAGCTGTCGACTGCTCGCGGCGCTTTTCTCGCGCGTTTCATTTGCGCGTTGAAATCACCGCGAATTTGCGCGAACAGGCAATTTGAGAGACGTTTATCTATTTGTTGTGTTTAACGCGTGTGGTTTTTGCTTTCTACTTTCCATTCTGAGTTTTAATTAACCAAAGTGTTAATTTATCGTCTTCCGTTATTTATTGTACGTTTTTATGCAATTAATAATCGGATAATAAATTGTTTTATTATTATTCTCATCAATGAACAGAAAAAAATCACACGTTTTTTTTTTTGTCAGTGCCGTTAAGATTTAACACTTTGTTATTGCGACGAGAATAACTGTGATTTACACCGAGTTTAGTATCTATCATCTCTCGCGAGTTCTAGACACATAATGTGCGTAAGAAACGACATTTCGACTTATTCGCTTTTACGCGCTGACGCATCACCCTGACGTCACACGCATATCCAATAAGGTGAGACTAACATGGTGGCGCGACGAATAACCAAAGGATTTGCGCGCGTTGTCAATGCAAAGTGCAAGCTCGTTTTCTCAGATCTGTGTGCGAGATAAAAAAAACCATGTCTGTAGCCGGCGAGACTTTTGTGATATCGTCACCGAGAGAGAGTAAAGAAGTAAAGAAAATCAAACATATATTACTATTTGTTCGAAAAAGAATCTCAAGAATAAATACGAGAAGATATTACATTCATTGAAAAGTTTATTGGAAACTTCGATGTAGTTAGCAATTTCTCGATTTTGTTCCGAGATCGACCGTTCGATAGTGCGATAGTTATTGTAATAATTATATTACGCAACTACGGAACTTGTTATAATTAGTGATATTAGATAAATTAAAAAGATTACGTGGCAACTTACATACGGCCAACTTTTATTTAGTAGCGATATTACACACACACACACACACACACACACATATATACATTGCGTGTGTAATATGCAGTTCGTTTTAAAACGCTACACTTTACAATTATAGATCCCAGAAGGGTAAGAAAAAAAAATCTAAGTACTTACGTACCTGTTCATAGTCCAAGGTGGGGAAAACGCGCGCGCGCGAGCGCGTAATTCCAACCGCAAGGACGCACGTGTTCAGAGGCGTAGGCAAAAGTTCTTTTTTAAAGAGCGGATTAAATTAGTCTGCTCGCTGAATTTATTACGACCGAAGCGGTGATTATGGATGATGATAGAGCTAAGCGCTATTCTAATTATGTCTGTCATAAGTAGAACAACAAAACGGCGCCGAGCACGCACATCGCGATACACGTATTTATTAGTATATCGCTTTCTTTCTATCTCATTACTGCGATTAGAAAAAAAAAAAATCCACCTGCGTGTGTGTTATTAAATTGTTGCAAAAACTAATTGAGATTTCTGTTAAAAATAACATTCACACGGTTATCATTAAGTAATAAAAAAAACCTCAATTACATTTGCACAAGCCAACCTAATCATTTTGTCTAGACTAGTTGCAGTTTTTGTTGTACTTGTGTTTTTTTATTATTATTATTATTACTTACCGCGTGTTTTTGCTTTTTTAAATTTACATCTCGCGTTCCTCGTAACGCGCGAATCAATCCGCTCTCGTTGCCAATCCGTCGAAATAAATTTCCTCGACGAAAAACGAACGAAGTTTATCGGCGCGAAAACATCGGATCGAGGACTCGATGCGGAATAAAATCGGCGCGATTTATTATACGGGAAAAGCGCGCGGACGAGCGAGGCTTACAAGTATAATAAACGCCCCGCAGTTACGCCATTGATGAGGTGTACAGGACGCTGCAGCCAACTGGCCGCGTACGTGGTGCACGCGTGTCTTTAACCATCTCGATATCGTATCACGCCGGACCATATCGAGGTGGACCACAGGCCCGCGTGCGTGCCACCGCGCGCGGCCTTCGGCTTCGCCACGCAGAAAGCGCTTCCCGATGAATTATCGCGCCCCGCGTCTATGTGTACATACACGTACGTATAGTATGTGCCCGCGAGCTCGTCGCGCGTTCGCCACACGCGCGTCGACGTGTAGCGAAAGAGAGAGAGAGATGCGCGCAATAATGTTTCGAATTGAATTGCGGAGAGAGAGAGAGAGAGAGAGAGAGAGAGAGAGAGATGCGCGGAGAGAAATTGAGACGTTTTTGTCTTCGCGTCGGAGAATCGCGAGCGCGAACATGTGGAATATCGGAACGACCGTAACATATCGGCTTGTTAATTCACTCTCCGAGCATAGTTTTCACTATTGCTCCTCTCCGGCTTTCCGTTTTTTATTTTCGTATAACGGCTTTTGCGTTATTACCACCTAGATTTTTTTCTCTTGTCTAATACGCGTGTCAAAAACGTTACAAATTTCTCAGGATTTACATAAATAAAAGTTTTTCTCATAAATTGTAAATTTTTTCGTTTTGTTCGCTCGTGGAAACACGATTTTCTTATTCGCATAATCGTTTGGATTTCTCTTCGCAGAGCGAGCGACCGCGATCGAGCGACCCGACCAGAAACACCAGAATTCCGTAGCAGACATGATTGAATGATGGAGGTGATTTCGACACGGCGATACGAGGCCCGTCCACCGGCGAACACCCACTCTTCCATTCTCGTGAGTAAAACATTTTCTCCGCGGTTCCTTTCGGATCGGATTTTCTCAGGCGAGTTTCTCCTTCGAACTCGCATCTTCACGCCGGTAAATTCGGAAAATCGAACAAAAGTGTAAACAAATCGATTTTACACACATTCGACGCAACATTTGTTTTTTTTTTTGTTTTTTTTAAACTATAGACAAGTCGTTCAAATATGTTTTCATTCACAAAGCCCGTCATCAGCTGATCGGTGCCCGCCTCTTTCTACCTCATCGATTTCGCGTGTCATTAGTCATTTTATTATGACGATAATTAATGTAATTCGCCTTAATTGCGTTATAAAAGTCCGATCTCGCGCGCGTTTCGTCGATCTTTGCGAGCGATCTTATAGATTTACGTTAATTCGCCGACTGAATCGGAATCCGCTTGGCTGTCGATCAGGAGTTTAGTCGCGTGTAACATGGAGTAAGAAAGCGGTTACGGCGAAGTTATTTGCGGTGGACGTACTTCTCTCTCGGCGAGAATATATACGTAACTTCCCCGGAATGTCCTTACTACAGCCGAAAGGAGCCGCCGCCGCCGCCGCCGCCGCCTCCTTACGTCCTCTCTCGCGTTCGTAGGCGGGATTTACATGCATATATTGTTTCCTTTTTTCAGGTTGACCCTGAGAACTCCGTGGCATTAATCAAAGAAGGTAAATTCATCGAACATAGAATTGATTCATCTACACGAGCAGAAAATGGTAATGCGTACGCTTCGCGCGCACCGTCGGCACACGTAAACCGCACATTTGTTAAGACGATGATGATGACCGTTATTAACACGTCGACGTGACGATTACGATAATTAGAAAAGGATGTAGCGCGTACGAAGTACAAAATAACAAAAAAGCGAGATAATTTTATTTCGAATAGCAAAGGAATAATTGATCGAATTATCTTTTAGTAATTTTTATTAATTACTAAATTAGTGATTTATCATTAGTAATTTATATTTGTTACTAATTTAATAATTTTTATTATTCTCGAACTTTCAAGATGCGCCAAAAATATTCATTCACGGACTAAGTTGTCATAAAAGTTTTTATTTTACTCGGATGATCCGTGTAGGTAACGTATCGTCACTCCCTACGTATAATTACATAAGTGTCACATATGGGATTTTCAGTTTATTGCATAATGACACTTAGAAAGTCATGTTCTTTATGGTCACCAAATATTAAAAAAAAATATTCATAAATAAGGAACAAATTTGAAACCGAGAGATCCCTAACTATAGGGAAACATATGAAGCTTTATACTTTTAAACTGCTCTCCTCTAAAATTTGCGTTTTGGAGTTACGGGATTATACGTAGGGAGTGACGGTATAAAATATAAGCCTATTTTTCACACTTTTGTTGGGGTTTCAAACAAAAGATTAGACACTGTGTATACGCGCCAGCGTTACACAGAAAACACAAACCGACGTGAACATTAACCTTAAAGTTTACTTTTCTTGGCAAACATCTCGCAGGTAACTGTTTTAGCGTGCTTTAGGTCGCTATTGTTGTACAACGCCTATTCGAAGTCGCAACAGATGACGACGATGACAGACGTTATACTCTCGACAGAAGAAAGAATCCCCCGCGTTGCCGTCACAAAAGAGTCTCCCGTTGTCGGCTCATCATCCGCGTTTTATGTCTGTTTGTTCGGGACCGAGAAATTGGTTTTGTGCAACGGTGCCGGGAAAACCGTTCGTCGCGCGAGAAGGACCCGAAAGAATGTTCGCTTCCGGTTTTTCAGAGGAATGGGAGACCCGCAAGAAAAAAGAGATCACCACTACTCGACAAATCGAGACCAGAGTTAAGCGTCAGGTCGTTCTCGAGGACGGCGAGGTCGTCGTCGACTCCGGGCCCCTCGTTACCACGAACACGACCGAAGACGTTGAGCAACAAGAGCATACGACTCAGGAGGTACAATATATAATATTATAAAATTTATAAAATATATCAGATAAGAAATATATTGATTAAGAAAATTTAAATAACAAATTTTTTTGCATCAAAAATTTCGTAAAACCATCAAATAATTCTTTGATGTCTTTAATTTTTTTAATGTTTTTTTTTTTTTTTTTTTTACATTAATAGAGTCAAGTGTAAATTCTATTTTTAGCCGTAACTATTTCTACGAAACGAGAAATATGATAACGAGCAACAACGAGAGAGAGAGAGAGAGAGAGAGAGAGAAAGAGCGCGCCTCTTCTCTCGTTGTTTTGCGACACGCGTGCATTGTTCATTGATCGTGCATACATTTGCGTATCAGAATGGAACCCGGCACTTCCTTTGTAGCATCACGCGCGCACGTGAAGAAACGTGCTTTTAACGTCCGCGAACTGGTGTTTAGAGACGCACGACCGGGGATCAGCCGCAGGAGGTCGACTGGCGGCCGGCGGCAGGTGGTATTGTGACCGGAAATGGCGGCAACATCGTGCAAAAGGAGCTCAACGAGACGGTGGTGCGGAGCCGCGAGGAGATCGAGGAGAGACTCGAGACCGAGGATCGTCAACAACTGGGAGATATCTCGGACGAGGTATATTGTGATGTGTGGACAACACACACATAATACATAGTTAAAGCTGTGCGCGACACACCCACACCCTGAATTCCACCTGCGCGTGCCGCAGGGAATACATATGGTATCCGTATGCGCGCATTCTCCTTTCCCGGAGAATCACGCGCCGCGAAAAGGTCGCGCCGCTGTTCGTTCATTCTCTAAAGAGACTCGTCCCATCTGATAGCTCGCGCGAGTCGTTTGTGTGTTGTTGGGGGGTTTATACGTAACCCTCCGACAGCACGACGAGGAGATTCGGTCGGCCACGGCGGCGCTAGACATTCGCCGACGTTGCGAAATAATTCGTGAAGTCTGAAGACGAGAGATGAGCGAGGCACGAGATGAGATTGCGCGAATGTGTAACTCTCGTAAAGCGACATTTATATAAAAAAAAAAAAAAAAACAATGTCTATATATTGTACATAATCATTTTATTTAACTTTTTCTCATATATTTTACATGATACGTAAAGATACAAAGTCGAGAAAAAATAATGATAATACAAAAAATAATATAAAAAATAAGAATATTAATTTTATCGAAGAAACTAAAATATTTCTCAAATTAATAATGAAGAAGAATAAGATTCTTCGGGGCTCGGAAGTCTTTAAACTAATGAATGAATTAAAATCGGGTTGTTTGAGCCGTTTTGCAGGATGTTGTGCAGAAAATGTGCTTAAATATATATATATATATATATATAGGGGGGTATACGGGGTCCTTCATATATATACGTGATGCAAATCCAGCATCCTATATGGAGGAAAAAAATTATTTCGTTAAATATATGTGTATGCATATACAGGGTGTTTCAGAACTATGGGATCAAACTTCTAGGGGTTATTCAGTGCAACAGTAGAAAACATTTGAGTATAGGGACCCATGTTCGGAAAAGTGTCACTACCGCACTACGGCCCTAAGACGCGTTAAAATTTAGAAAGACGATGAATTGCCTAAATAGGATTTAATGCATTTAATTTTTGCCAATTGTTGTTTTTATAATTGTTGTGATGATATCATGTACAAAAGGCAAACATTAAATGCATTAAAACCTATTTAGGCAATTCATCGTCTTTCTAAATTTTAACGCGTCTTAGGGCCGTAGTGCGGTAGTGACACTTTTCCGGACATGGGTCCCTATACTCAAATGTTTTCTACTGTTGCACTGAATAACCCCTAGAAGTTTGATCCCATAGTTCTGAAACACCCTGTATATATATATTTAAGCACATTCTCTGCACAACATCCTCTGCAAAACGGCTCAAACAACCCGATTTTAATTCATTCATTAGTTAAAAATATTTCTGTTATAAAAATACTATGTATATCTCCTCACATTTATTCCTGAATTAATATATCAGTTTTTATAATTACCGTGCTGTCACGTGTTCGTTTCGAAATAGAAAAAAAAATAAGAATATTAATTTTATCGAAGAAGCTAAAATATTTCTTTTATAAAAAAATACTATGTATTATCTCCTCACATTTGTTCCTGAATTAACACGTCAGTTTTTATAATTACCGTGCTGTCACGTGTTCGTTTCGAGAGTAAGTTTTTAATCGCAAACTATATATATATATATATATATATAAATTAAAAAATACTGTTTATTCTGACGCAGTTATAATAACACACAAATCACTTTCCGAATGACATAATAACACACGCCGCGTTGATACGATATAGAGGAATAAGCAGAGAGAGAGAGAGAGAGAGACAAGTGTCTCTCTGTGGTTCGGAGTATATAGAAAAGAAAAAAAAAACCCTCTCTCTCTCTCTCTCCGGACGCCATTCCATGCAGTATTCAGTTGCACTCACGGCAATCGCAACGAGGTTTCATAAACCTCGCGGGGATAACCGGGAAAGGAGTACCCGGAGATTGCGAGTGAACCCGGGCAACAGGTATACACGCGCGAAAGACGCTCTCGCGCGCATGAACGATTCAGGACGGAGGAGGTCGAATCGTTCTGGACGCGAAGAAGAGGACGAAGAAGAGGACGAAGGAAGGACGGAGTTAAACGGCGAACTGTGCAAGTCGCCGACATTTGTAAGAGAGAAAAAGAGAGAGAGAGAGAAAGTGAAGGAAGGAGAGAAGCGAGAGAAGAGAAAGAGAACGACAGAAATAAGAGAGACGAAGAGAGAGAAAGAGAAAGAGAGAGAGAGAGAGAGAGAGAGAAGGGAGGGGAAAGGGATCTCAAGAAGTGGAAGTCGATGATCTCTCGATTTTGCTCTCCCTTCACTCAATAGCGATGAAGGAGTCACGGGATGCCGCGGCAGCTGTTCTGCGGCACGTCTCTCCCGAGTGCGATCGGCCGCGACTTCAGCCGCGATAGTGACCGGTGCGTTCGTTTCTCTCTCGTCGTCGGCTTGGATCAGATCCGCGGCTGCATCGGATCGGGTCTCGATTCAGAGGACTCTCTCTCTCGTCTCTCACCTCTTCGTGTGGTCCCGCGACGTCGTCATTTTGCCGGCCGCAGCCTCGAGATTCCTCCTTGCTCGTCGTCATCGCCGTCCGGATCGGACCAGTCGTCCTCGCGCGACAAGATGCTGCTGGGATAACCGCTCGGAAAAGTATACTCCGCTTAATCAGACGTGACGTATCGACGGGACGTATCTCTGCTTTTTTTTTTTTTTTTTTTCTTTTTGTTTCGTTAACGAATCGAGAGACATGATATAATTGTTACTAGCCGGCGCTCGGGTGGGTTGGAAACGCGAAACACACACACACACACACACAAACACACACGAGCTCGGAGTGCACACAATGCGCCGTCAATATCAATCCGCTGCAAATAGACCAGAACACGATTGAAAGTAGTGTCACACGTCGAACAGTTTTCCCAGAGGCAAATATATATCGCGGACGATCCTCGTCATCCTCGTCATCGTCCCCGAACGAACATTGAGAGTCGTTCTCTCCCGGCGGAGATCAAAGAATCGCGTCGCGTCATCGTGTAGCCAGCCGGCACTTTGCACGAGTTTTCATTTATTTGTCAAGTGAGACTTATATAGTTTTTTTTTTATAGTTTTTTCTGTTATTAAGTTCAAGTAATTTGGATGATGATAATATATACACATGTATACATTTGTACTTAAAAATAACTTTATATTTATAAATTATTTATTTTTCGCGATACACACACATGTATATCTTTTAACTTAAAATTTCGTAAAAATCGCAATATGACTCTCTGCCTTCTCCTATCTTGATCTCTAGAATGTGAACGCACAATTGCGCGCACTTGCCTCATTACAGTTGCTCTTGAGTCTCTTGTTGGCGTCTCTCTTGAAAAAATAATGCACTCTCGTGGAAGAAAAACAACCGGCAAAGCCGGTTTGTCTTTTGTGACGTGAGATTTTTTGAAATATACACATTGTATATATATATATATATATATATGTTGAAAAGAGAAGGTAGAGAGAAGGAAGATTTTCGGAGATAATAACTGGATACGCGCGCAAGCATCCGGACAAGGGGGATAATACTAGAAGGGGATCTGGTTTTTTCAGGCGTACCAGAAGGCGGTGCGTAGCAATAGAGGCGATTTGCGGGTCGCACTTGCCGAATCCTCGAAACAGTTGGCGCCGCAGTCCGGTCCGCGGGTCATTCAACACACGACTAGGTCAAACAAGGTCATCGACACCGAGAAAACCTTGGAGAAAAAGGAGCTGAAGGCTGATGGATTAATCGTTACCGAGAAGAAGCGAACGGTCGAGCACGAGGAGGTGAGAGCCGCAAAAAGTAACTCTAATACGTACTTCTCTCTCTCTATCTCTTGACTTCATTTGTCTCTTTTTCTCCAAACTCTCTCGATTTGCTTTGACAAGCTTTCTTGAAGAAGTTTCCGGTGCGCGCGCGCGCAGAAGAATGAAATAATACACAATTTATTTATTTTACTAAATGAAAAATGTTACAAATGTTATTAAAATTAACGAGAGATTACGGTTGAGAGAAAAAAAAATCGCAACGCGACGTGTAAAGCAATTTTCGACTTTTATAGATTAACGACGACGAGATTCCGGACGACGGAAAGAACGACGACGCTTCCGAGACGAAGAAGGAAAGTTCTTCGAGGTACGTGAAGAAGCGGGAAGAAGACGTTGTAGACTACATCTCGGCCGGCGAGAGAGTCGGCCGAGAAATGCGCTACGTCGCGGAGACGAGCGAAGGGGAACGCATAGGCGACTGGTCACCATCACCGACGGGCATGCGAACAACTCGTCTTCACAAGTACTCCGGTATGTGTACGCGCGCGTGTACCTTGCCTTTCTCTATTTAATTTTCTGCGTCTTCCTGCATCCTCGCGCGTGTTTACGCGCGATTGGTCGGCTCGGACAAGATTGTTTGTCTCATCAATTCTATATACGCGCATACATAATATGCATACCGAGATGACAAAAAACTGACAGCTAATATAGATGAACGATATTCCGCTTTGCTTTCGAGATCTACAGTGTGTGTGTTTTCTTCTGCATGAAAAAAAACAAAAAAAAAACGTACATTTGCGTCACCGATCGATTAAAGGTTTTCACTGTTTTCGCGGCTTCGTCGAGTTAAAGATTTATTTATTTCAACGCTGACACATTGAAGATTTATCATCGTTAGTTTTATTTTTTCCTCGATAGATCGAAGCAAGGGAAAAACTCGTTATGTCATTCCATTTGATCTCCAGCTCTCGTCGCAAGAAAAAAAAAAAAAGAATACCACGAATCGTTACAGGTTTCCCGGACGCCGGTCGGAAAGACGCTTTGACGAAGAAACCATTAGACTTGGAGGAAGAGGATGAGGCGAGAAAATTCGAGACGTCAAAGTGGCTCGAGAGCCACTTCGGCAGCGATTCGCGTTCGTCTCACGGATCTCTCGATGCCGACGAATCTCCTCTCCCGAGCACCAACACGAGCTACATCAACGTTACGATGAAATCCTGCGCGGCGAAGGAACGGGATTATCAAAACGTACGGAGCTCCAGTCGAAATCAACGACGGGCTCGAGATTCGGATTCGCCCACGGGATACTTCCACGGTATCAGCGAGTGGTCGGAAAGATATCAAGGAAAAGGTCTCACTCTCATTATAAGAGAAGTAACTTAATTAACATATATAAAAATTAAGACAAAGCGGTTTTTAAACACACACAATTGTTTTCAGTCTGGCGTAAAAATTTCGTAAAAGATAAAAATTCACAATTTTTTTTTATAAATATCAAGTATGTGAAATTCGAAAAACGTTCGTTTGCATTTAATTAAAAATCTCCCGTGTAGAAAAGCAAAATCACGCGCGATCAAGCTCGCCAGTTCGATACGTGGACACTCCTCCTCGCGCCAACGGACACGCCCAGGGTCATAAGAGAAATCAAGTCGAATCGTCGTACTCGAAAACTTACGAATCTTTTCGACGCGAATATCAGGATCCCATCGACGAGAGACAACGTTCGCGCACACCGTCCCCGCCGATTCGTCGGCGATCGAAAGAACAAGTAATTTGTTTTTTCTTTCGTTATCGAGAGTTATTGTTAAAAAAGTTATGCGTATATATATATTAAATTGTATATTTTGTGCGAAATAACGCAGTGGGCGAAATCCGAGGAGAAGATCAATTCGCACGAACCGTCGTCGGGACGTACCGCCAGTCCGGTGCACGTGGTGCAGAGAACCTGGGAAAGCCGTAGCCGCGACGTTCAGGCGCAAACACCCGAGCGCAACAATCACAGATCCACCTCGTCACGATCGCGATCGATTTCGCCAAAACCGCCTACGCCGAGTCGCGAGGAGAAGAAATCGGATTCTCCACGAACGTCGAAAAGTGAGTTTTACAATAAAAACATTCACACAATAAAAATATTCTAAAACACAATCAAACATATTATATTCCATGGAGTTTCCGCGACAAACCAATATTGTCACTTCGAATCAATAATTGTTTACGCATTGAACACAAAAAAAAAAAAAAACAAAATCACTTGAAGGTGGCGGCTCCAAGTACAAGATCGGCGAGTCCTTTCGGAAGCTGGTCGGCAAATTGCGCTCGGCCAGCACGGAGAGGAAAAGCAAGCGAGGAAGCGGTTCGACTTCGCAATTGACGCAAACGGACGACAACGGTCCGACTTATTTGCAATACAACGTAATCGACAGAAACATTCCACTTGTCAGTGAGAGGACAACTGTGGCGGAAGACAACAAACCACCGCCGGAAAGACCGCCGCGATCGCCGCGAAACGCGTCCGGCAAAGTCGCAAAGACGATCAACCGAACGTCCGATCACGTCGTTCGGGAACAATGGCAGCGCAGCGAGTCGACGCCACCGCCCTTGCAAAGATATTATCTCGGCGAAGATCCTTTCGGCGGCAGCATCTACGGTCGCGAGAAGGGATACGAGAACGACAGGGACCGCCAGCGACACGGAAGATCGCGCGGTTCCGGTAAAATTGCCGTAGATTCCGAGCACAGGTAAAATAACATCTACCGACATACGTAGTTTTGGAAAAACGCGAGACGAATTTTGGCCGATAAGTTTTCACTTTTTTGTGTTCGACGATCTCTTTTTTGATTGATATTAAACAAAACAAAAAAAAAAAAAAAAAA